GTAAACGAAATGGAGGCACAAATATTTACATAAGGACGGACTATATTTCTCAGTTGGGGAAAAAGGACTTCTAGGAGTGAATCCGCTTCGATGTCCTAGAGTGAAGTCCAGCGCCATGCCGGTTCTGGACCGGTAAAAAGAAACAAAACAAATCGAATAAGCAAAGCGCGTTCCCGGGCCACAAAAAGGCATCTGGTATAATCACATAATCTACAACGGTAAAATCCGCTGCAGCATCGCAATCGCCACTCAAAACAGCGCTGGCCGAGGCACGAAAGTCCTGCAAACTTTCAAAACATTTCCCATTTCATTTCCATTTGGGTGGCGCTGGGCCCGACCAAGCTGCTTTCATCAGAAGTTATCGGGTGGCGCCACACTGAGCAGCAGTGGTGCGTTTGGCGCGGCTTGCACTCGGGCCGGGCGCCAGCGGAGAACGCTGGGAGTCCGGCCGGGGGCCGGCGGAGAGCGTTGGGAGTCCGACCGGGCGCCAGCGGCAAATGTTGGGAGTCCGACCGGGCGCCAGCGGCGAATGCTGGGAGTCCGGCCGGGCGGCAGCGGAGAACGCTGGGAGTCCGGCCGGACGCAAGTGGAGAACGCTGGGAGTCCGGCCGGGCGGCAGCGGAGAACGCTGGGAGTCCGGCCGGGTGCCGGCGGAGAGCGTTGGGAGTCCGACCGGGCGCCAGCGGAGAACGCTGGGAGTCCGGCCGGGCGCGAATGGAGAGCTCTCAGAGTCCGAGCGGACGTCAGCACGGCCGGGCCGCCCCCAGAGATAGACCGACAACATGACCAGCCACGTAATGATCATATTCATAAGCACAGCACACGACTGCACGACACATATCTCTCCTGACCAAGCATTGACCGGGTTCCTCAGCGACTGACCGGGGGGGGGGGGACAGACTTGACCCCTCCCTGCTTATCTTAAGAACGGCCGGGCCGAACTCAAACATTCAAATCTCAAGTGGTAGCGCTGTGGCGTGCGGTTCCGAACCCCACAACAGACTCAAGTGGAAGAGTGTATTAGGGTCACAAGTCAAAGTCGAATTTTTTAGGGGGGGGGGAGACGTCTGATCGCTCCCAGAACATATTTCATTTGGAAGCGTATCTTATCGTGTGAAATCATCGCCTCCTGATCAAACATGCTACAAAGGAGGTATCTGTCACGCGCGCCGTTCCAGGCCTAGAGCCAAGGTCACGTACCGCGCAAATGAGAGCTAAAACCTTGGTCCATTTGTCTATTTTGGTCTATTCATTTCCGTCATACTTAAACCATCCAAACGCGGAGTGGGAGAGCAGCCGCAACGGTCAAGGCTAAACAAATGACCTCGGTGGGGGGTAAGCAGTTGGATCGATCTCCACGATGTTTCGGCGGCACAGTCATGCCGACAGTGCAGCCTGATGTCCTTCAGCACCGCCGCCAGTCACGTGGTCGTCGGTTTGTATGTGAAACTGATAAATGGCTTCCGTCGCCCCGTCACCGCGCCGCCGCGGCGGACTTAGCCCCGCCGCCCACCGCCGCGGGCCGGGCCCACCTGCGCAGGCGCAACATGTGTTTATGCATTTAAGCCGTAAGCCAGCCATTGTTACAGATAATTACTTGAAACTTAGTACAGACATCCTTCATAACCGCATGTAGGACACCTTTTTCATTTTTCATAATGTTGAGCCTGAGACCAAAAATAGTCGACGATACTTTTACTCAATATCTTCATTTGACACCCCAATATTCTAATACGCAACGGTGAAACCACAAGACGACAAGGCATATAATGGTGGACTAATTCGCTCACATTTTCTGTTCGCAAATGTGAAACAGATTCTTTCTTTCGGCTTCTGTGCCAAGTCCTACACGGTTCTGCGCTTTTGAAAAAATCGACAAACATGACGTCACTCTGACGTTACTCACGGTCGATCTATTGTGATCCCACAGTTATCATATGGCAACAGTTACTTAAAATTTTGCGGGCGATCTTTCATGGCATTTTTGAATCATCGCGAATATTGGACAGGGGATGGGCGGATCTGAAAACCGATGATGATGACTTGGGGTTTAAGGGCGCATCGGATCTGACAACCCTGATCAATACAGGGTTAAGTCGCCTCGCTAGGCGTGGGGCAAGTAAGGTGATGACAGTTCAGTGTCTCCACCCCAGGCGATACCGAAACCTAAACGAAATTAAGCAGAAGCTCATGGACCGACACAGATAAAAATATAATTGTTCATATCCGTCATCATTGATAGATGTGCCGTAACCAATGTGTTCGTGAAGATTTATGACAACAGCAGTCATACGCCTGATATCTAACCTCTAAGACGAACAGCTACTCCGTTCAAATGATCTTTCTTTGGGAACTGCTCAAAACTGCATTCAGCTGCGGTCGGCAGGTGCAAATATGTCCGGTGGCAAATGACGTGACTGCCAAGTGGCTCGACTTCAAAGTTCTCTCTGACTTCAAGCAAGACCCACTAGGCTACGACTACGCTCGTGACAGCATCACTTCCCCGCAGCTCAGCTTACGCCCAGTCAGCTGGTGCAGGCTCCCACCGGCATTATAAGATCGCCGAGGGATCTAGCTGTCTGCAGACTGACGATCAGGACATGATCCGTCGTTTGTCGGCCCTCGGGCGGCGGCGAGCGGCCCGGCCGGGACCCGGCCGGGACCCGGCGCCGCCCCGGACGGCGCGCGCCCGCCGCCGCCGCCGGCTGATCAATGCGTCGTCCGCCGCCGATCGCCGCGCGGCCAGGCCGGGCCGGGCCAGGGCGGGCCGCACCGGACCGAGAGCGCCGCCGGGACTGGCGGCGGGTCCACTACGATCGGCGGCGGCGGCGGCGGCGGCGGCGCCACACGGCCCGACGAGTCACCTCACCGCCGCCGCCGCCGCCGCCGCCGCCGCCGCTGCCACCCGGACATCATACACACCGCACACACACCCACGCACGCACGCACGCACGCACACGCACGCACGCACGCACGCACGCACGCACGCACACGCACACGCACGCGCACGTATACTCACACATACACACCCACACATACACAGTCTCGTGCAGAAGCGGCCCACGCACCACCGCGTGAACCTTTTACGACAGAGGTCCGCAATGAGGACAACCCACTACAGACAACAGCAGCAGCGGCAGCAGCGGCGGCGGCGGCGACGGCGGCTGAGCGGGCGCCGGCGGGCTGGCTTACATGCGGTATTGTTCGATGGCAGACATGGTGAGCATGGTCCGGGCGGGAGCAGGCAGCACATTCTCCGAGGCGCGGCCACCGCTCACTGGCCGGGCGGCGGCGATCACAGCATGGTGACCGGTGGCGCCGCGCCCGCTCGCAGACTGAGCCGGCGCCGCCGCCGACGGCCGCCTCGTCGGCGCCGACGGAGCCAGCTGGGTGCCGACGGAGGGGCGCCGAGGCGAGCGCAGGGCACGGCCTACCGCGCCGACGCAGGGGCGCCGAGGCGAGCGCAGGCACAGTCCACCGTGCCGACGCAGGGGCAATGAGGCGAGCACAGGCACAGTCCACCGTACCGACGCAGGGGCAATGATGACACGTGTGCAAGCACGGCGCCGCGGTGGAGGCACTGAGAACGCTCGCCACGACCACCCAGATCGCCTCCCAAAGGCAGACCCACAACCACACAGCGATGGCGCCTTCCACACAGCGGCGCAAGTGCAGCCACCAGCCTCTCCACCACGCCCGGCTTGCCAGACTGCGGGGGCGCCCGGGGCGTTGCCAGACCAGCGCGGCCAAGACGGCCTGGGCTGGCTCCGTGGGAGGTGGTGGGCAAGCGCCGCTGCACTGAATGCCGGCACTGCTAACGCAGCACTGGAGGCGTGCCGACTGCACTGAGGCTCCACGGCATGCATGGCCGGCGCTGGCGAACAGCACGCATCACCGTCGCCCACGCAGGCCAGCACAGCGGCGACGCGCAGCAGACACCGTATGCGTTGCATCATCATCCGTCCCACGCGTGAGCGC